AGAAAGAAATCCTACGTTGTGACCATAGTAATCCAAATTTTAGTCATGGTAATGTTTCGAATGCATTTCGCGCGAGCCAGAGAGAAAATTTCTCTCTATCATTTTCTCTTATAAGCAGAAAAATATATTCGGCTCGTATTTAATCGATAAGAATAATTTAATTGAAATTTACGAACTAAAAGTTATATACCGCAAATTATATATGCGCGATATATTGATTAAGATATTAGACAAACTGTCGAGTTTTTTTCGTTGCTCCTTTTAGCTTGCAAATTCGCGCCACGATGAAACATTATTCAGTCTAGTCAAATATTATGTTTCTCCTGAAACGCGTCGCGACGCTCGTGCCGCGTGAAAAGGAACTCGAACGGACTCTCCTCGATCGTCGTCGGCTCCTTCGTGTACGCGCGCATATAATACGGGCATTAAGGTGTGTTTCTCTTGGCAGAGTTCCATCGTCTTCGTTCGCGCGGCTAACATACGTTATTATCTCGTAGAATTCGATTTTCAGTCTCGCCGCGCTGTGCCAAAATATTCCTGCGGCCTTCTTCGCACCTTGTCGCAATCGAAATCGCGATGGTCGATGGTTGAAGATGCTCTTAAACCGGTCGCCGATGCTCACGATCGTAAGATTCTCTTTCGATCACTTATCTGTCATATACAGATAGAGACGTACCATATGTCGGGCTAATCCATAATCGTCGCAAACATACCGTGTCTCTGGCAGAGTCTCGGTTCAAATATTGTATTTTCTACGTAGGACTAAATGTCATTCGTATATAAATTTCATGGCTAGGAAAAATGTAAAAAAAGCTTTTGTAAAATTTTTCTAAAATTTAAGTAATTAAAAATGTTTGCTCGCAGTGATTCAATAAAGATTTGTCAGACTTTACATTTGCGCCAATATATCGACGAAAAAGAGCGTTTTATCTTTCATAAATTTGTAATCGCAGACAAGCCTTTAAAACAAGATCGAGAAAAATCGAGGCGATAAATGTCAGCGATGAAAGTTGATACACAGAGAAAAATATCATTGTACTGCCAAGAAAAGCGATTACTCGGTTTATTTTTCTTTTTTTAAGTAATAGTTTTCTTCAACAAAGAATATATTATTGTCTTCATCATGTACTCAAAAGAAGAATTTATTTACTGCACTTAGTAAAATTCAAAATATATTCAATTAAATTTCATGCTTGTGGTGAACTTGTGATATATTTGCGGATATATAAATTTATGATATATTTAAAATAAGTAATATTTACTTGAATACAGGATACATTTCTCTCTGTGTACTTTCGAGCTGATTGCTCGCGGTCTTTCGAGTTATCAGTCATGTAAAATAGAAGGAGTTACCGAAATTTTAAACTTTTACGTTACGTCTCAAGCCAATAAATTTAAAAAAAAATTTCAAGATGCAAAACATGCTAATTATAATTATTGAAGCTTGCGTAAGTTGATTTCGCGCATAATGGTGCTCGTGTTGCTCGAATAAATTTACCATCTTGCGAAAAGCGGCGAGAAGCGGCATATTTCTAACACTGTATCTCCCGTAATTATGTTAACAACACTTCCTACGAAGACCGTTGCGCATATATAAGCTTGTAGTGATCTAATTATAAAATCAACGAGGGGGATGCACGCGAAAGAGAGAGAAAAAGAGAGGGAGAACGCGATTCGAAGAGGGCTCGGATTTATTGGCTCGTGCGTACTAAATCGTTAGGCGGCTTTAATGACCGCAGGAACGTGGTTAGGCCTTCTCTTTATCAGCGTCTATAAATTTTATCAGTGGAAATGTCTAGCGCATCGTTTACCGTGTCCGCGGCTGAAAGATGAACACGAGGAATGCAACTGGACAGATCATCAATATCGAGGCGTACGGGGTGTTTCGGATTTGAAAAAGTACCTTGATAAATTTATAGTTTATTCTATGGAATGCTGCTGAGAATGTAGTGTAAGCTCCGACAAAAACTCGCTGTTTTTACGTTACATAATGAGAGGGTCTAACGAGCGTTGAGCGTAGTTGAAACGATATTCGAATTGGAATAAGATATCAAGAAGGCAAGTGCCATAGTTACGAATTCATATTCTCCGTTTTATAATCAGCCAACAGCTCTAAAAAGTTCGTAAACGAGCACCGATAAACCGGAGTTGCAATTACGCGACGTGTTTCGAGATTCGTGTTTTTTATCAAGAGAGAGAGAGAGAGAACAATTAGCAACACACACACACACTTTGCGCATTGCCTACCACGCTACTATTTTTTCTCCTTATTATCACACAGATAATTAGAGACGTAATGCACTTAAACTTGACTTATGCATTTGTGATTTTATATTGCCATTTATCAGATTTTTTTTCACGACGAATAAATTACTGTAGCCAGCCTCTGAGATTGCTGTATCTTTAACAGCGCAGGATCATTTACGATTCAATCAACGTTTTCAAGACCTTCAACAATTAAATTTAAAACTTCTCAATTCTTTAAAATATCAAACGATTTGCCATTTATTTGAACGAGAGATCAGTTTTGACAAATTGAGAACAAAAGATTCGTGACAGTTTGTCAATAAAGAGTTTATAGATAAAGGTTCAAGTTTGTCGCAAAAAGATATATCGATATATTGTTGTGTAATGGACAAGTTATGTAACTAGTATAATTTTATAAAGCAATCTATTAATTTACAACTCTATATATATATATATATATATATATATATATATATATATATATATATATATAAATCGAATCTTTCGACTTAGACTCAATATTTTTTCGTTACGTTCCTATATATTTCGCGTGGATCGAAATTTAAGAGATCCACGGTAAATTCATCGGTGAGAAAAGCGTCTGTCAACGAGACAAATATCCGCCGCATAAATATTACTTTTTTGCCATGGGAAAAGAGGGGGGGGTGGGGGATTCACCGTGACGCCCTGCTCTCGTTGGCGGTATCCTTTTCGTCTCTTTTTTTTTTTTTTATTTCCGTATATCTAGGAGCGAGACACGAGGCGCATCGCCCCATAGGATCTGAAGAAGGAACCGGATGCATCTGCAGGGATGCAGCCGCATAAAAGATTCATTTCTTCCTCGACTCTTTACCGTCGTGGCGAAAAGTCGTCTCAAATAGATGGCGAGTTTCGACGATTGCAGCAAGTCAAGGACGAAAATAATGAAGGAGGAGTAATGTAAATGGAGATGATAATCTACGTAATTATATTGTTACAAAATGAATTCTACCTCGAGAATTTAATTAGATATCGCTAAAAAAATTTGCTCGCTTTCTTGGGTACATGAGAATCTTTGTGACATCTCGAGCGAGAAGCGCAAAACTTGGACGAGTATAATTACTCCGTCATGCATCACCGACAGCGCATGCCGCATCGCGGACGACGATGCCGGTTATTATCCCGCATTAAAATGTAAACACATGCAGCAGGTTGTCCTAGAGATTCGAACAGCGGTTCTCATTATCGCAAGTTGATTAGAATCTTGCGTCGTGTTCCTATTAATAGGAAATTAATAGGAACACGACGTATCGCGGCTTTTATCAATTATCCTCGGCTGAAAGCTAACTTACCTAACCGCCTAGATTCAGTTTTAAATGAAATCGATTTGCGCGATTGTTGCAGTCCATTATCGGCCTTATTGCGCTAAGCCATCATCGATAATCGAGAATCGGGAAACTACCGGCGTTAATCGAGAATTTTATTTTTAAAAAAAGAGAAATCCCGCGCAGCGAATATATCGGATCCCTTCGAAATAAAAGAGGTATGAAATTATTGGTCAGTATCGCGCGCTTAATTAAATCGTCCGACTTAAGTCAATGAGCGGAAGAAGAGCCGGCTCGTTAGCGGATAAGCATTCGAGCAATCAATGAAGATCGACCGATTTTAAGTATTGCGATTCAAAATCTTCCGACGGATTCGATTAAAGCGCGAATCGGTGCCGATCGTTATTAATGCCGTACCCTTTCTAGATAATCATTTAATGCGTCAATTACGACGGGATGATAATATTCGTCGCGCTTATTTTATTTGAATATTTCGTGAAGAAGGGACTCGCCTTTTTTATCGTTTCATACAGGGCTTTTAACGAAATTCTTGAACCGATTAATGGATATTGACTTTAGTCGATACGAATCGGAGTCTCTTTATTTAAAAATCAAGTTTGTGTATTGATTGTCTATAAAAAGAATTGACATATAAGATGTCTCAAATTTACTTATTAATCCTGATACATCCGAGTATAATTTTAATCTTGCTAAGATAATATGGATAAATTGCAGCGAATCAATAACGGACAAATTGAAGGTGATATACCGATATATTTTTATATGATAATGCAGCGTGAGACGAGGGCACGTAAACGGTGTTATCACGATGGAACTGCAATGCCGTTGATGATTCACAAGTTCAGATCCAAGATCTCACGATACGTAGGCGAACAGAGGGAACATGTCGATTAATAAATTTAATCTTTTTTTTTGCACAAGCGGCATATATAATATTATAGCATACATAAATAATAATAAAAATTGCGAGTAATTACTTTCGATAAAATAAAAATGCAACAGGATTCCGCGCGGCTCGAAAGCAACAGGTTTATTCGGTCGACAGGTTCTTCTCTGCTGTCCAGTGCGTCAACTTTTATTTCGCATTCATATTCTTTACACTGTAAAGATGTCTGTCATCTTGCATACGCGGAAAATGAATTGATGACGCGTCTACTTGATTATTAGAAACATAAAGGCGTGGCATGGCTTTTACTTTGGAAAAAAAATGTAATTTGTTTTTTAAGAAAAATTAAAATTTCAATAATCTTTGAGCTATTTTATAATCAAATAGAATTGTAAAAGAGAATACTTGAAAATAATACTACAAAATCCAGGCACGAAATCTCGTGTATCTCCGGAAGCTTTGGACTGGACGCATCTTAATTTGCTCCTGATGCGGCGAATCGTCTTTGTTACGCGACAATGAGTTTTAATTGAAATGTCGAGTTAATAAAATGCAATTAAATATCATGCAGCTGTATGAAGGTTCCGACAAAGAGACGCGAATAGAAATAGAAATAGAAAACGATTGTCGCAATTAACCGTGACGATTGCGCGTCGATTGCGCGGTCGAGTACGCAAAAGTCACGCAAACTCTTCGATCTCCTCGATCCTCCATTCGAAATCCTCCGCGTCGAAATGATCGCTCGATTGTTCTCGCAGATCGAAACTGTCCTCGACGTTATTATCAGGAATCAAACGAATCACAAAGTTACTTCTCCAATAGCGTCTCCATCGATGACCGTGTAATCTGTAATGTGAGAGAAAGTACACACAATTTGCATAATTTTATGATTGACGTCAATGTTTACGTTCGTCCCTCTAACGACGTGTGGCTAGAAATACTCTCTAATCATTTTTTCAATAATCGATATTACGAAACGTGCACTTTCATGCGTAGCTCGCCAAACTTTAATAATCATATAATCACGCCTTTTGCACATAATATCTTAATTAACTCATTTTCCATTAACGACAGCATTTTCATCCGTGCACGGACGTGGCGCACGAGCGACTCGAGTTTAACAGCGTACCTCCCTAACGTAATTATCCATCGCCAATAAGCTATCAGCGTCAATAAGCAGGTTGGTAACATGGCGACTATCATCCACGGTATCTCGTAAAAGCCGTTTCGCAGCAATGTCTTCAAGGCCAAGACGCATACGTAGCAGGAAAACGTAGCCACAGGCGTGGTCATTGCCAAGTACCCGATATCGAGTAACATCTTGAAGAAATACGCATTAAACACCAAGATGAATTGTCGGGATAATTAAAAGTCTAATTATAATATATGTCGCGATATTCCACAAGATCTTGTAGGCTCGGCTTGTAACATGATTACAATTTTTCACGGCTTGTAACATGATTACAATTTTGCGCCATGTATGTTGATACAACGATAATATTCAGTGTTTTATGGCTTTACGATATCCCTTTTACGATATTACTTTCGCGATTTAAAGATAATTAATGCAGTACATTCAATGTATACATACATTAACAACATTTATATTACGTGAGTCTAAGAAGGCGTATTCAAATCCGACTCGAAGCTCTCGAATGTAGAATGAAAGAGGAGGGCAACGCGTGAGTTAACTCACCTGTCGAGTGGCTATTACGGTATGGAACCATATTACGACGCTTCGAAAAAGGCTGTAACGACGTACCCTCTTGGTCGCGTACCTGTAGCCGCAAAGCTCGCATCTCGCGCGACCGGATTCGGTCAGCCATCTCTCGAGGCACTCGGTATGCACCAGAGCCACTGTACCTCGGCATCTATCGTATTATTTAAAGAAAATATCGTGAGGGTCGAAAAAAAGAAATCTTTTTGAGACGTTTTTCCCGAGATATGAAAAATCATCCTTGAATAATGCACGATCTATTCTCGTTGTTTTCAATCTTCCATGATTTATATAATCGTATACATCATCGACTCGAGAAAATTTATGGCCCGATTGTTTTTTTTAATTACAAATTATTTGCATACATAGTTTAAAGTCAGAGATTTATGAAGCTCTATTAATCTTTCTTCTCCTTAATTTTCATTCGTAGAATAATATTTAGCTTTCTATAATAAGCCGAAAACTCACTTGCAGGCCGAGATCAAAGGACCGAGATGGGTCAAGTTTGACGATGTCCGATCAGTCTGACTTTGCAAATCGCACGACGAATGATTTTCCGCGATTGGAGTATATCCTCCCATATGACAGATTCTGCAAATATCGCTGGAGACAATGCACGCATCTAAAATTATTTTATTTGCATATCACAAATGGAATCTTACTTATTTCGGAATTCATTTTATAGATATAGCGTTGAAATTTCACTATGGATTGCAATATAATTAATTTTCCTACAAACAAAGACAGATTGATGTGAAACGTACCTTTATCTCGTGATTTCGTATCGGAATGTTTCTCATTTTTTTTATCTGTTTCGGGATTAAGTGTAGATTCCGCGTTATCCAATGTAGAGTTTGTTATTTGGGTTTCTTCGTTGATGATATTTCTCGAGCTTGCTTTCGCGACAGATTTAACAAGTTTGTTTGCCCCTAGTAAATATCAATGCAAATATGTATTAAATATATCATTTTCATTTTAGAAAATGGGGTAATAGAATATATTTTTAAAAAAATTCTATTAAAATAGATAAAAATTATTTTGATAAATTCAGAGATTGTATGCTAATCTAAATGTATTAATCTTGAAAATGTCAGATGCTTGCCCGATAAGAAAAAGAGTGACGCTAACCTATGTCGTTTGTATGTCCGCTGCCATTTTCAGATTCTTCATCTTCGACGTGTGACATCAAAAATGTTTTGCGCGCATTTTGATATACGCGCTTTCGGACGAAATTGAAAATTTTTCTTCAAAATTTCCCCGCGATAGACAGATGCTGTCATCAAGATGTTATCAAGTCATATCGGCGCACTAGTCGATTCTTTCTCAAACAATCGATCAGTAAATCAAATATAATTACATCAGAATTTTAAAAATTGAATGCCAACTTTAAAATTACAAAATGCTAATTAAAAAAAAAATTTGATGAATTCAATTTAATCTGATTGAATAATATTGCAAGTTTCTTGAAAGATAACAATATTTTGCGTTGCAAATTTATAAGTAGTTGCTATTAAGCGCGCGAAAAATGTATGGCGATGAGAGCTTTGATGTTGAAGACGATACGAAATTTCATGGTGGCAGGCTCCATTGAAAACAACAACGCGCGGGTAACTATCCCCGAGGGAAGAAAACAAGGTGCGCTCGCATCCTTATCGGTCGTTCTTATCATCTCGCGTTCCTTGCAACCGCACCGAAACGGCTTATCTCGTCGTACGCCACTCACACGTGAGATTAAATGCTGCCGGACACACTCGCGTTCATTCTCATTTTTCATACGCGTTAATTCTTTTTTTCTAGCCGCGAGATACGCGGCGCGATAGAATAATCTCATTTCTAGTAACCCAGGCAATTAAATTCGCAATGAAATGATATCAATAGAATCTCTCGAATCGACCAATTTTTTAATCTTTGTACATTATTATACATCGTGATTAATAGCTATTTCTTAAGCTTAAGAAAAGTCGCAGATTCACTTTGTCCGTTTTAACGAAGCAAAGGATAATATCGCGACAACATTAATCCTTTCTTGACGTGAGACGCGAGGAACGTGGAAGCTTATTAATGATTTGGGCCCTTCCCCCTCTCGCTGGAAATTTTCTCCGCTACCGGAAATGCACGTATCCGATGTATATCCACGGGAAGCCTGATCAGTCACAACCACCTTTTCGTTTCGTTCCAAACGAAACCGATCCCGTGTTTTTGGCCGCGGACACGTTCCTCGTGGGCGGAGATTTCGACGCCGACCGAGAGTGGACCGGTGGATTATTCTTTTTTTAATACTTCCGCGCGCGCACGCGAGATATTTCGGAATCGGTTTCCGGTACCACGCGAAATATAAATCCGGCCTGTATACGCGATACGGGGGACTGGACTGGTTATTATTAGCGGCGAGTCGGCCACTTTTCGGAACCTGCGTTTTGCGGATATCCGTTGACCTGACGAATTAAGAGAGGAAATCTCTCGCGCGCTACTCTACCTGGCAAGTTCTCCTGGTAAAATAATGGCTGGAGAGAGAAGAGGGAAACATTTCGTATCTTGGAGTATCGTATGGAGAGATTCAGAGTGAATCCTTCAATTTAAATATACTCCTATCGACGATAATTTTAGCGAAATCAGATTTATCATCGGAAACACCATAATATAAGATGTAGATTTTGAAAGTATGACAAGTTATTTAATAATTTGTTAATTACTGATAGAACCTCTTATAAATGCATATTATTAGGCAGATTATGAATTATGATAATATCGAAATTATCGAGGATACGTGTCAAGAGGTTACTTGAATCAGCTCGTTTCGAGATGGTCGAAAATGTCGATGACGAGATAGCGGTTGACAGGTGCCAAATTTACTCCGTTTATTCCTTCCGTTGCTTTTCACCTCTCTCTTTCTCTCTATTTCTCTCCTTCGTCACTTTATCGCCTCGTTTCTCTCACGCTCATGTATGCGGACGAAACGTCAAGTCCGCGTCTCCATGGCTGCTATTTCTGCCAGGTGGCCGATGCCCGAGCCTAACCGACCGTCCGTCCGCCATTTTCTCACTCGACGTTTTTGGTTCAAGATTAATTAAACGCGTCTGGAAATAGTTGCGGTCGTCAGAGGGTCCGCGAACGGGGCGCGGAAACGAAGGGGGGGAGCAGGCAAAGGGGTCCACAGCCACAGCGGTAGTGGACTCCACGCACGGTTGGATATCCGCAGCGCGCGATGTTAATCTTCTCTCCTGCCAGAAGCAACGAGAGCAAATAGTTTACTTAGGTCGCGATCGAGACCTCGTGAGAAATACCATCGCGCCTTTTTATATCTTATTTACTTGCGATAATTTATTATCAACTATCTGTTGTTTGAATCCAACAAGGCGATGTATATGTAGGAAGACTGTGTTAAATCTCTTTGAAAATTTATGATGAAAATATGACGGATATGCGAGCACTTGAACTATTCGAGAGACGATGATTAAGCCATATTTATTTTATACATGTGCTATTCGATATTGAATATGATATATTTACTTTCGTGGATCGAGTTTAACGCCTCTCTCTCTTTCATCGCATATTTCAAAGTCGCAACAGCGGCTTGAGGATAGACGAGTGTCGCAGAATGAAAGTGACCGGGCAGCTAGATGAGCCGGGGATGGACCTAGGCGTTGGGTCACGTTCAAAATGAATGGATCTGGAGGCTCATTCATAATCGATACACTCGCGTGATTCCAACCTGGTGCCAACGAGAATTCATTGAGTTACGGGATATTCCAGAAACCTTAACCTCTCGAACGCACACGAGTATCAATCCGTTTGTGCGCACGTTAATAGAGTGTCTCGTTGCAAGAGTCTTTGCATTTCCCGCGAGAGAAACAAAAATCTTCTGTCTTTTGTACGAATGTTGGAACGTATCAATTTTTTCTCAAACTTCTTCTCTTAAAATATATATTTTTTATGCCTTTAAATTTGACGCTCGTGTCGAGCGCAAGCGTTCAAACATTAATTTGCGAATGCAGAAGCGACGTCTTACCATTGCACGTGTTTCAAAGGGAGAGTGACATTAGGGTCCAGAAACAAGCTAAAGATAGCAGCCCAAGGGTCACTTTGCAATTTCTTCCCACTTTCTCGTTCCCTCCCTCAACCTTCGTCTTCTCGTTCCTTCTTTCTTTTAAGATTGCAATTTATAGAAGCACTCTACACCTGTCACCTTTTCGCGACTCATCGAGGACACGTGCCTCCATCTCAAACAGGAATAGCCGACGCGTCCGATGGAGAAGAAATAGAGGCGAAAGGAGCAGAAAGAAGAATACCTTGAGACATTTTGCCGTGTTGCTCGCGCGGCATCGAAACGGCAAGATCTTTCAGAGAAACTGGAAAAAGCTTCGTCTTTCATCGACCGTTATCTTGAACAAATATTACCAAGGATTTTTCGAGAGATAGAGGCTGAAGAGATTTTTATAATTAACGTAATTTAAGAACATTTCGACGTGTATTGATATAAAAATAGTAATTCTGATAGAAACGTTACTTCTCCGAGAAAAAATGGACTTGTGTAATTTATATAAGATTACATATAATTATTATAATTATTATAATAATTATAATTATTATAATTATTATAATTATATAATTATTATAAGATATATATATATATATATAAGTATTATATATAATCATATATAATAATATTCAAAGTTATATAAAGATAAGATCATATCGCGTCACAAATTTCGAATATTATTATATATAATTATATAAAATTATATACGTCGTCGAATCTTTTCACATCTAATTATGTACATCATTTACATATGATCATATTATGCCCATTTTTTCTCGGCTCAATAGTTATTTTCGTGATTTCGCAGTGTCGCTAAATTATAAAAGTGTCGAGAGGATTTCTTTCACACGTCGAAATGTGTCTCCAACTACTTAATTTTTTCTAATTAAAAAGACTTATTTAATCGATAATTCTCTTGACCGCGAATTTAAGATAATCGGAAATTAAAAGTCTAGTCTACGTTCTTCCGCAAGGCATCGACATAATAAGGCGTGTTACATTACACGTATACCCGTACGTTGGTTCCTGGTTACACGGCAAACACTCGTTAGTACACGGAACGGCGAACGCGAGCGTTCACAGGAAGCGCACCTCCGCGTGACCCGCACGGGCCCTTTAAGTATTAACGACGGCGCTCGCTCTACGTGATCCTCGTGTTTACAACGCGATCGTCGCGTCCGTTCCACAATCGGCCAGCTTAGATTATAACGTGCCTACGATGCGATCGTAAGGGATATCGCGCGTAGATCCGCATCGGAGGAAGCGAGATGAGCCCTCTGAGCGGTCCCAAGATATAAAACACATAATAGCTCGGCATCACCGAATTTAATAAGAATGGAGACCGTGAATCAGTTTAAAAGTTATCGCGCGCTATCAATTAATAAGATGGGGAAGCTCGATTTTTAAATCGATTCTCGTAAAAAATAAAAAAAAAGTCTCACGTCTCTCCCCTTATTTGTCAAACGTCATTGTGGCGCGAGATTTATCGATTTTCTTCACGCGTGCCGCCACGTACGCAAGGAAAAAGAAAGGGAACCGAGGCGAGGAAGACACGCCCGTCGTCGATCGGCGCGATTCCTCTTGGGAACGTCTCGGATTATTCGCGAGCCTGGCGAACACATCGTGTCTGGTGGACAAATGCCACCCTCGCGCCGTTTACGCGTCGAAAGCAAACACAGACGGCAAAAAGGCCACCTCGCTCGTAAAGGGCAACGCCGTCGTTTCTACCGTCGTCCCGTTTCATCGCAGTCTCGAGCGACGCGAAAGACGAGAGCGTTGCCGCTGTAACGCTGACCGTATTGCGCTTACGTAAGCGTTTGGAATGTTTACTTTGGAGATCGGAGCAATGCTCGCGCGTAATTATTTTTTAATTATTTTACCCGTTATACGGCTCACGCTTATACTTTATAATTAATAATCTTTATGATCATATTGCAATAATTGCTATAATTAACGCGCGGTCTGTTTATTAAAGACTGATAAAATTGACGAATATTCGCCAAGATTAATGTTACGAATGTGCGTAAATTAATAACGGTAAAGTTCGTTTGTAAGTGAGATACTTGCATTCGCCGATTGATGGATATTATAATTGAAAATGGTGGTTTTGCACTCCCTCTTTCTTTCTCTCTTTCTCTCTCTCTCTC